AGGAGTTACTGAGCATCCAGAGGAGATTACTGGAAGGAGCCAATCCTGGACAGGAAATCATTCAGTACTGATGTGACCTCCTCATGTGACCTGCTGCTGTCGGCTTCAGAGCTCAAAGCTGGGAGATGACTCACATGGAGCTCATGAGAACCAGCAACATGCCGAGCAGACCCACCTCAGGAGCCTCCTCCTGCCAGGGAAGTCTGCAAGATCTCTGCACGGCCACCCTCAATGGTTGCTCAAAACCCTCAATGGTTGCTACAAATTTATAGATAATGAAATGTGGAATGTACCTTCAGAGGTCTGTGTTTAAATACSTATTTTTTTTCTGCAAAGAGGCATCCTGCACCTATAAGGAATAAGCATGTTATAAATGCTTAGGTAGGTACCATCTGGGGCTGCATTCACCGGTTAAACAGAGCAAAAATACTTGGACAAAGGCACCTCTTACTAGAAATAATTTCTCTAATATGTAAATCATTATAGCTTCTTAACATAAACACTGTTTTTTCTCCAAGGAAGACTGATAATTTTACAAAGTAATTTAATGAAAATCTAGTTGTTATTTGTGAAACATCATGATGGAAGGAAATTGGCCACTATATTTCACTCCATTCTGGAATATCTCCATGTACATGTATTGGGATGCACTTGTATAACTTAAACATGAGGTGGAGCAAGGTAAATTTTGTAGAGGAGATGAAAAACTAMGTTTTTGAAGGAAAGCATAACATTCCAGTTGAAAGAGTGATAAGCCAGTGAACATGCCACATGTCACATGTCACATACTTGAGATCTTCCTGGACAGCTGTAGTAATCAGATAACATGAGAGACAGGGATTCTCTCTCCTAAATTATTTGTCTAAAGTTAGACATCTAAATCTAAATTTGTCATCTTTGGCTGCTTTCACATCCACTTCAGTGAAAGAGACACCTCCAGGGGGGTTACCTGCTTCTATTTTCCATCTAGAGTGATTCAAATAACTTGCTACTGGAGGTGCCTCTTTCTCTTCAGGGTCAGAGAAACTAGTCAGAGTTGTGGAGCTCAGATATTTTTTTAGATATTTAATGGTAGTGAAAGGAATCCCATTCCATGCTGCTTTTTGTTGGCTGAATTCCAAAGAGAGGCACTCTGACTACTTCTTCCCCTTGCATTAATAAGTATTCTCCACTTTCTGTCCTAAGCTGGACTTTTTTAGCATTGTTACATATTAAAGCACTTCTGTGTTCAAGTCCAGACTTGGCTACGTTTCCTTTTTGGATACTACCCAAATACTCTTTGCAGAATGCTCTGAATTCCTTTGGGATAAAACAGGTTACACAAATCTTGAGATACTGTGTTGTGGACAAAAGACAACAGAACTGACTCATCATGTTAATACTCACCAGGATGTTACTGCACATGGCCCCAGCAGTTGTTTTGTTCGTATTGCTTGCTAAATTCATCCTGAGGCTGACCAGGTCATACTATGATATACTGACTGCACACAGCCACAGTGTACTGCTAGGAGAGAGCAGTAAGAATTAACAGGGCAGTTTCCAAGACAGGGCTAAGTCAGCTGCTTAATTCATTTTAAGTTTCCATTAGTTTGAGCTACACAAGTTCTTTAGGATCTTCACAAAATCCCAGTAGAAGAGTAGATTTTGAGGACTAGAATTTTGAACACCCTCCCAAGATTCTCATCTGCAGTTTTACTGAGCCTTATTTTGGATCTTGAAGCATTGGATCTTAGGCTGTTGTCATGATCAGCTTGGAGTATTTATTAAGAAAATTTTAGTGCTCATATTGCAAAGTAAGATTCAAGAAATGTGACTTGCTCATATTTTAATTCAAAGGCCATATGACAGATTAAAGAAAAATAATAGCTCAGTGAAAACATTTTTCATTTCAACACCATCCTGTCACTCTGAGGAGCACAAACAGAAGACAAGTGTGTATGGGCTACCATACTTTCCTTGTACTCTGCTCAATATAAAACGATGAAGAACAAAAATAGAAATAGCTCTGCACTATCACATGCTGAAGATCAGGTGTAAACAATGAGGAGAGATTTCTCTGTCTAAAGCAGATGTTTAAAAAGAAAAAAAGAACCCAGCTCAGGTTAACTAATACTATTCTACATTRTACTCTATGGTCAGGGGAATCCACCCACCTTTGTGCTGTTTGAAATACTCCTCTCACATTGCATTAGCGCTGGCTGACATCATTGATTTTATTAAGTCAGTCAGTAATTTTACTTGCTCAGTGATACAAATAAATAGTGACACTTGTGTTAGAGAAACAGTTCCTATAGCAACTGAAGTTGCTTAAAGATTGCTAATTCTTTTCTGTGAGCATCTGTTAGCAGATGTTATGAACAGTATAACATTTCCCAGTTAGTCATGTTTTCCTTGCACATTCAAAATTATAAGAGGATTGCCCATTTGAAAACTGATCTTTCAGATACTTTTTTGTATTCTTTCTTTGCACATATTCTTTGGAAATCCAAAGCGTTCCTTCTGAGCTTCAAGACTTTACAAAGAGAAACATGCCTAAGAATTTTCATATATTGCTTTCTAGAATGTTTCTCAGCTTTCAGAAGCATTTTTGATACTGGACTTCTCCTTAATATCTGCCACAATCTGCAATGGGGAAGGTCATAAGTGATCTACATTTCAAAGAGATGTTAAAAAGTTGGAACAGTTGCCTAAAATCGAAGGACTGCAGAATGCCTCTTAGGCAAAAAACCTTATCTTAGTTTCTTGTTTCATCTCTAGAAGAAAGATGAGAAGTTGACTGCCAAACATGAATGTCATCATAGACAGAAACACCTGATATATTAAAAGCAGAAAAGTAGAACAAGAGAACAGTTGCTGGTGATTACAGGTACATGCTGTTTATAAGTGAGGCACAGATCTTGAGCAGCAAAACTGGAAGACACCACCTCAAGAGTTGATAGATTCTGTGTCTCTCAGGTCTTTGAGTCAAACCTGAGAAGCCTGTCAGAAGCTGTTGATTTGCAGGAATAGAACTATGCCAGACTAGGTTATGGTTTGTGATACTAAAAAGGTCAGATACGATGCTTTAAAATTATATGAGAGTTTAAAGTCTGTTTGAAGAGAATGACCTGTGGGTCTGAGAACAACAGCATTGTCCTCACATGATAASGTCCCCTGTGTGCACACTGGCCCTTAGCATGAACCAGATGGTGGCAGTTATGTACACGAGAGGGAGGAGGCTGACTGGGGACATCGTGGCTGCTATGATCTCATGGATGTCATCCATCTCATAGGATGAGAGAAGTTGCCTTTGGTCGTTGGACCTGCCATGTCAGCTTCTYCCACGTGAGTGTGCCACCAAGTCACCAAAGTCACCAGAGAAGCTGAAGAGACCCAAAACGTCCTTAAGAGCAAGGATGGATGTAATACCACACTCTTACTCACCCAGAGTGATAAATTACAAATAACAGGACAGGTAATAGGGCAAACCCACATCACTTCCAACAGTTGCCAAGATCCCCCTCCCAGTTTCCTGGGAATCTCGAGGTTTGTCTCCTTGCTGAAGATACACATGGAAATGGCAGCTGTTTAGTAAGTGGGGGAACACGTCACCCTCTCTGCAGTCATGGTCTCTGTTGAATCCAAGCTTTTTGCATCTAAATTACTTTTAGAGTCAGACACAACTCTGAAACCATTATGGCATGTTTCCAAGAGGCAAACACAGGAACATGAAGAAAGAACAAAAAAAAATGCAACCCTTTTTCCTTTCGAGGCCAGAGGGTTTATAAAGTGTGCGTTTCTCATGGCAGACGAATAAAAGAGCACAATGCATGTGCTTATCGCTGTCTCCCTGCTGACAGATATGCCTGAAATGAAAAATAATAAGAAAAAAAATCAGGGTCTTGCCAGGAGAGCTGACTGCCCATACTACCAGTGCCATGAAAAGAGCTTTTCATGACTGGAACCGCAGTTCTTAAATGGAGCGTGGTTTATCTCGTATCAATTTCCAGTTCAGAATAATGGGTGTCCCCTACCTCAAGTTTCAGTGGCAAAGGAGGGAGGTCTGAGTGGGAGGTATGTGTGGCAAGGCTGCCCTTGCGCTGCTTACAGTCCCAGGGAGGCTCATGTCTCCACACTGCGCACCTATTTAGAGGTTGCTAATAGTTGCATTACTCATTCCCATATCGTGTTAATGTAAAATAAAGTGTTCGCGGCCCTTTCAGATTTTATTAAGAAAACCCTAGTGCAGCCTCACTCGGAGAAGTGCTGAAAGTGGCAGATGTGAGTCAATCTGGAAATTACTCAGTTCTGAGAAAACTGCATACTCACCCTATGTATTATTGGATAATTAGGGAAAGTTTACCATTATTTCCTGCCTTTCCTCAATATTCATCACTAGCAGTCACTGCATGCTCATCTCCTGCAAAGCAACTTGGTGGGGCAAAAGTGTATTTCCAAAGCACAGAAATGTAATTGTGAAATCACATAAGCAAGTGGTCAAATCCATATGATCGAACGAGTGGTTTTCTGCCCATCTTTCAGTCACCTGAGGCTACAGTGGACACCTGATAGTATCCATTTAGCTGAGGTTTCCTTTGCAGTCAGATCTGCTATGCTGTGGCATGACAGCTGCGATATTTAATTGCAAAGTATCTACTTCAGTTTGAGAAGCTCATCAATTAATACCTCCCTGAAAATTCTGTTATCAATAATCCAAAATCATATATACACCTACATGTACCAACTGTATAGAGGTACCTAGCTGTATACATTCATATCCCTTTGTGTCCCCCTGAAAAGATGAATTTATGAATACAATTTATCTTTATTCCACATTTTTTGAGTATATGAACCTTGAGAAGTGTATGTTCTTGTTTGGTGCTACTATGATGAAATTCTGATTATGATACTGTTATGTTAGTGATAAGGTCTCCAGCCTCATTGTCCTTCTAAAAGATGCACATATTATTCTGTGTTGTGGAAATATTTTTATTCATTTTTAATTACCCTTTGCCTTGCAGGTATGGCATGAATTGTCTAATCCAGTTTGAAGATTTTGCTAATGCTAATGCTTTTCGTCTCCTCAATAAATACCGCAACAAATACTGTACATTTAATGATGATATTCAGGGTAAGTATAAATAGGAAAGTGCAAACTTAATCTTCTCATGAGGAAAGGTGATTAAGATCACAAGATTGTTTATTATACGGTACTCAGATTTGTAATGAACTTAAGAGTTTACATGTAAGCATTTAAAAATATAAACAAAAGCACAACAGTCTTAAGATGAAAAGTCAGGCTCCACTGTCTCCAGTAATTTATCTGTTCATTGGAGCAGCATTCTTCAAGAGAGAAAATGCATCATATCTTTTAGATTATTAAGATCATTTAGAGAGTTCCATTAATTTCCTATATTCTATCTAAGACAATGCTGAATAATGCTGTCTTTTGACAGTTGTACAAGGTTTTTGTAGCCCGTGTGGTCAGTAACTGATCCTGGCAATGGCCTTCTGTTGTTATGTCCAATTTCATGGATAAATGATAAGGTAAATCAGATTTTTCCTCTCTTTGGATGCTGACTCTGGGACAATCTGAGGAACAAATACATTCTCCGCTAGACTATGTTATGTAACTCCTCAAGTTACACACAATGGCACAGGCCAAGCTGGCATTAGAACCAAGCCTGTCTTCCAGGTCCTAGGAGACTCAAGTTGTCTGCAGACTTGCACAGAAGGAAGAAAGCTACATATTGATGGCAGCCTCATCTTGCACTGACTTTGCTTTAAATCATTGGAAGAAAGTTTGCCCATCCATTAGGGACAGGATCTTCCCAACTCATTAAAATTTCCTATGCATATTCTAGTAGTTCTTGTACTTTTTCTTCTTTTTTTTTTCTTAGTGCTGCTTAGCATGTGCAAGAATTTCACAGGTTTGTTGATTTAATAATATGCAGTCCATAGGGCCCATTCTCACTTGTACTTAAAACAGGCTGAAACAAATACAAATGTCATTTTTCACGCAATTCTAGCTCATTGCGAGCAGTCTTTTCAGCAGTATTTCCATATCTATTATCCATCTAGCAATGTTTGGCAGGGCTCTGCAACAGATTTTTCATATCTATCTTTGCCCAAAACAAGCAAGACCCTAGTTTGTGGGAATATAATTGGTGCGATGAGATGCATAATCCTACCTAAAGAAACTTTCGTGAAGAGATTTTAGAAGCAGAGGAACTTAAGGCATTTCAGAGGCAAGATATATGTTCCTGTAAAAGAAATCTTTTTAGATCTTCTTTCCACCAAAAAAAAAAAAAACTTTGATGAAGAGAGGAGCACACAGAGGGCCAATCCACATCCAGGATGTGGACATGGCCATGCATGGCATTGCCATAGAATAGTCCTTGGTAACCTCTTCCCAGTTAGATGTCATAGTGCATAGAGGTGGAGAACTCAGCCAAGTCTCTACTTGTTAAAACAACAGGGTTTTACCTCTTAGTAAACTGCTTTATCATCTCAAATAAAGCATCTAGCATTGTTTGCATGGTAGCAGATAAGGAAAGAAATCCCACTGATCTTTTGAGCTACCATGTCATAAATCAAGAACGAGCCACTTTTTCAGGCTTTTTTATGTAAGCATCAAAAAGAAAAGGGGATTCCAAGTCAAGTACTAGTCATGAAACAGAATGGGGGATACTGGGGACTGGTGTAACTTGGACCTTACTTAACTGTCTTAGAATCACGTCACAGTTTAATGGAGTCTAATTTAGGATGAGTAGTCTAATCTATCCACCCTGATATATCCCTCTGCATCCCTAGATTATATGAGAAAGGTAAGAAGTGCCATTCACTAACCTATACTCTTTTGTGCTTTATTTTTCCTTCAGGCTCTCTCTTTCCTAATATGTTGCTTGTTCGTAATTTGTCCTGTTTGAAAAAGTGAGAGAGTTCAATGCGATCTGTGTTCCAAATCATTAGTGGAAATTATACAAAACCCTGTGTAAACAACCCCGAGCAGGCACAGAACTCCAGACAATTCAGCTTCAGCTGAACAATTCAGCTTCAGAGCTGGTGTTGGTTTATGAATATTGATCTTAAAACACATCCTAGGCACCAACTGTGCAAGTTGGTCCAGCCTCAGTTGTACTCAGTTAGACTTGTTGCCCATTGCTTAGCAGGACTGGGCAGGCAGGAGAGCCCACACTGAGGATAAAGTGCTCCACTTAATCTCCTTAGACCTCACTCTTGCTGYCCCACAAACAGAAAGCCTTTTTAAATATTAATGCCTTTTTTGTCACACATTTTTTTGTCACACAAATTACAGTATCACCAAATCTGTGCTACCCCAACCGAGTTAGGATGACTCAGAGCCCTTCCGCTCGCAGGCAGCCCACTGCTATGGAGCGGGACGCCTGCCAGGTGCCACGGACCGGAGCGAAGCGATCACTCTTATTACAAGGCTCATTAGCCTGGGAGGCAGCAGGAAGCGGTTCCCAGCGCCCGCCGTGTGGGAGTTCCCCGTTAAGGGAGAGCTGCTCCTTCCTCGGCGGGTGACATCACTGCTTTCCCATCGCTGTCTGGGTTCACGCAACGGGCAAGAGCTGCAGTTTCAGCTCAAAGGGAGGAAACTGGTTGTCAATTCTCCCAGTTTCCCACTAAAATATCAGTGCAGCAAATGTGAAGCTGGAGGGATATGAGAATTCCTTCGATACGTCTCTTCCTRCTATCATTTTGCCCCACAGATATACACAGTGATAAAAAGAAAGACAACTCAAAGGTCTTATAAAGSTGTGAACTCCTGTGAGCTCCTGACGCAGGCATCCTTGGATTCCCATTTCATACAAGATAATTCCTATAAGCAGAGAGAAGTTATGTTAAAAGGGACATCTGAACCACCTGGTCAAACTCCCTTACTCAAAGTAAATTTCAAACTCAAAGTTAATTTCAAAGTTAGATTCAACTTTTACTTTAAATTGGGTTCCCAGAGCCTATGTCCAACCAAGTAAATTTTGAACATCTCCCAGGCTGGAGAATCACAACCTCTTTTGTCTTCATGTTTCAGTGTYTATTAATCTTCCTTGTGATTTTTTTTCTAAAGTCTAATTGGACTTTCCCTACATGAGGTTGTGTTCATTGCTYCTCATCCTTTCACCATACATGTCTGAGAAGAATCTGGCACCATCTTCTCTGCACTAGTTGTAGACAGCAACTTCTTCGACTCCTCTAGCCTAGTCAAACACAGGTATACCACATGCATCATATATCCCACCACTCTAACAATGTTGATAAGCCTTATCTGAACTCTGGTTTGTCAGTGTATCCCTTGTACTCAGAGCCCAAGGTAGGTATGGTACTCCAGATAGAACCTCAAAAGTGGTGACAGAGATGTAATCACTTCCATCCACCTACTGCCTACACTTCTACTGTTGCAGCCCATTATATTGTTGGCCACCTGTACTGTTGGCTTATCTTCAACTTGTCCATCTTGAACCCKTCTGAAAAGCTGCTTGCCAGCAGTCTGGTCTGTGCTATTGCATGGAATTATTCCTTCCCAGATACAGAATTTTGCATTTATCTTTGCTGACTTGACATTCCTGTGGACCTATTTCTCCAGACTGTTGAGGTCTTTCTGTGTGACAGCTGTTTCAGCCATTATCCTGAGTTGTTATCATGTTTCAGCCATTATCCTGAATTGTTATCATCCATGAGCTTGACTGGGTACACTCTGTTCTATTATTCAGGTTTTTAATAGACAAATAGTTTGGCCTCACAGCCAATTCTGTGACTAGACTGGGAAAAACACCTGCATTCTGGAAATGAGACTTCTTCAGGGCAACTTAGGATAGGAAATCTTGATCATTAGCAACTTTTAAAAAGCCCAGACTTTTACATTTCCATCCTCTCTGCAACTAATGTGGACTAGGAACCTTGCACAGAGATGATTCCCTTCCACAGAACTTGAGTCTTTTCATAGTCCTTAGAGCAATGGCTCCACTTTTTGTTAGTTCTTTGACTACTGCAGTCTCATAATGTCTCTAAAACCACCAAGCACCCTTATGAGATACCCTAAAAGATAAGCTTTCCATATCTTTTCCATGTCATTTCAGGAAATAGTGTTTTAGCCTGAAGAAGTACAGCTCCTAGATCCTAGTAAGGGTTAAGAACAGACAGATTCCAGAACCACAGATCTGAGTGGCTTCAAACATTTTGGCAGTTGGAAAGCAATCCTGTGCAAACGTGGCCCATTTTGCAGACACATTTCAGTGTGCTTTGAGGACCAGGCCTAGTTTTTTGGCAACACATTGAGTAATTTCAGTGGCTTAAAATGGTACAGTATCTTCTGTTGTTGTTTCAGCTGGCGTGGAAAATGCATCAATAATTATCGTAGGAAACTAAGGGAGGGGTGAAGGGGGAGAGGAGCACAATAGGGAGGGAGCACTGGAAGATATCGTGCTGAAGAACAAAGCAGGACATGTCCTGCCAGGCAGCTCCTGAACAGCACGTCTTCCCTGCGGGGATTCACCCCAGCTGAAGCTAGATGTTCTCAGTCCTGTAGGGATTCACCATTGCAAGACCCTTTTGGACCTGTTGTGCCCAGCAGCAGAAGAAGCTTCTGCTCCTTGACAGTATTACAGTTAACTATTTAAGGGCCAGCTCCTAGACTCATATAAACTTATATAAATTTGTATAAACTCATATAAATGTGTGAGGTTCAGTCTGCTGGCACAGCGCAGTGTATTGCAGACCCAAAGCCAACGTATGTGTTGTCTGGCAGTCTATGCAGAACAGCCCTGTTTCAGCCATACCTTCATATGAAGGTAGTAATACTGATGTGTGTGTGTGTGTGTATATATAWATRGATAAAATATAATATCAGTATTATCATTTTGAAGCAATGCAATCTACAGCCAAGCACTTTACAACCCAAAGAGAAAAATAGGCACCTAGAGTTGACTTCCATTTGATTTTCATTAACATCTACTTTAGGACAAACTCTTCATCAGTCAGATAGCTCTTCATCATACTACCACATCCAGACAATGTCTTCTTGGTCATTAGTGTTCCTAAACCTGCTACTGGAAAAAGTTAATTCCTTTCCTGACCACTAGTGCTATGCAGTTGTCACTGCTGTTTTCTTTAACGTGGTCCATACCATTTCTAGGTTTATTTTCTGAAGTCTCTTGGGGGAAGGAAAAAAATAGACCAAAACCATAGAGGTGAAGACCTTGATCTGCAAACACTTTAGTAGCTCTCTAYTTCAACTTGGTTGTATTTGGCTTTTGATGATGCATTCGGAGTGCATCTGGACAAGGTCTACTTTGCTTTCYAGTAACCAGCTGAATGACAACTGCTGCAGGGGGAAGCAGAATTTGGAAAAGTTCTATAATTGTTCTGCATCCATAAATTTAGATGTATTTTCTTGGCTGCCCTTTACTGGAACTGTTAAATTGGTGTTTGTTATTCCCAAGGCCCTACCTTTGATATGATTTTGATGGGGTATAGCATAAGGAGAATGGGCAAGGGTAAAAATTAGGTGGGACTGAAATTGGYCATCCCTTCCTCCAGTGTGCTGTGTTGCCTGCATGGGCATTGTGTAAAGAAAGGGACATCTGTGTGGGTGCATGATCTGATCACTGCTGCCGTTGGGAAAAATCAGCTAGTCCAGATGCTGGTTCTAGGCCCCAAAAACACTCACAACTACTAGAAAGTTCTTCTTTCACTCTCCCTTGCCATTCTTCAGAGGGAGATACTCTGCTCCACTGAGGCAGAATGTGGTCAACAGGGYAGCATCAACACTCGGCATGCCAGGGAAGTCCTGTACCCAAACATGTACCATGTACCTGTACCTGTGCCCAGTGTCCCTGTTTCCATCCACGTCCCCTTTACCACTTACCCTCACCTTTACCATTTATGCATGTCTTGAAGCTGTGAACCTGATCCTTTCTCCCTAGTTTTGCTCCAGTGTAGCTCCACTGACATCTATGGGACTTGCTCTGACTTACACTTGCGTAAGTAGAAAATCAGTCTCAATGTTTGTTTGTTTTTTAATTTACATTCACAGTATTCTGAATGTGCCAAAGAAAGATTGTTGCTGTGATTGTCATTTTTCTTGAATATACCTTAATTTTAAATGGCTCTTTTCTTTGCTAGCCTTGTTTCTCTGGACTCCTTGCAGACGATCCTGAGATCTGCTTGTTCTTTTGTGATATTATCTTGAGCATTCACTTGGAGTCTTGAAAGAATGAGATTATTTTCCTTTCTTCTCTSTGTGTCCCTCCACATCTCCTCCCCACCTCAGACACACACCAGCCAAGATGGCTCTTGCTAATTGCTTAAGGAAGTAGTTATCTGCAATAAGGGCATTCAATCTCTTTGAAAAACAGAGATTAACTTGTCCTAGGGTGGTTGTTTTCTTCTTGCCACAACTCATGGTGACAGCTTTTTTTTTTTCCCATCTCATTTTGTGGTCTTTTTAGAACTGAAGCTCACTGATTAGCCAATTCCTTATACAAAYCAGCTGTGAACTCTCCTCCAGGAGATGCTTTATTGTTCCATGCTCTGAAATTGTAATTATCAAAGAAAAATATTGAACTGAGGCCAAGGTACAGTAACTTTGTTACTTAAGTAAYGGGAGTGAGATGCAGTTTGGGAGACATGGAAGGATTAGAAACACATTGGTGAGGGAGGGAAGTATTATTAGGAATGGCAGAGCTGAACAGAGTTCTGCTGTTATTTAGTGAGGTCTGCAATGCAGGCGCAGGGGGATGAGTAACGGCACACCCTGTCCAAAGGCCAAACATCAAGCCCAACACGTATCGTGGTGCAGACTCAAGTCCACGCACGCTTTCCTTCTCTACATCCCACCCCTCAAATGCTTCCTCGTAACATATTTAAAGGAACTCGTGGTCCCTCTGCACAATGATCCACAGACATTTTCCACTTGTTTAAAAATGCGTTTGCAGACCCAGACAGAAATCAACATTCGTCTCGTCAGACTCCTCAGCAATCACAGAGTATAAAACAGTTTTGCCTGGGAGAAAACCAAGAGAAACAAGATATTTCCCTAGTTACATTTCTTCTTTTAAATATTTTCCAGGCATATATTGCTCCTAATATCGTGACCTCTCTCCAGGCTAGTGCTGTCCTKCTGTAGTTGTTCCCTTTTCAGACTTTTTTTTCCTCTAGTCAGTCCCACCTATGCAGAAGGGTGGACAAAGCTGCAGAAGCATGGGGAGACAGTGCCCCACTGTACATGTCCATATGGGTGGGTGTCCACTGTCTTTCTAATTTGTGTCACAAGGGTGGCATTGCTGATGGCTGTAGGACCTGGATCTCTTCCTGCTTTTTTTGCCTGTCAGCCTGCAAAAGTGAAAAATGAGCATGAAATAGGTATGTGACATCTGTAGAAAGCAAAATCTAAAAATTATGCAATTTTCTGAGGTTGCTGTGATTTCTTTGGATGCTCGTTATCTTCCTTTGTAATCTTTCTATTTAGATTGCATGCTCTTTTGCCAAGTAAACATATTACTCTAAATATGAGTTAGAAAAACAGCAATTCAGTATGGGAAAAAGAGGAAATTCTTCATATACATCCTTCAGTTGTCTGTCTTGACGAATACTAATATTCAAGCACTAGAGCACTCAGCGGCTGGTCCTCTCCCCTGCCCAAACTTCCCTTTAAACTAACTGAACCCAGATGTTCTGTGTCTGGTAATAAACTCACATGAACCATTTGCTGGGCCAATGAAGGGAATTCATCCTTGGTGAAATGTGCCTCTCGAGTGATTCCTTGCAAGAGGTTTCTAGTTTAGCCGTGGCTTTTGCACTACATAAAAAGAGCAGGTAAAGTTTAGTTGTTTTTCCAAATCTTTGACATATGTAGCAGCACCATCTACTGGTTTCACTTCTCATGGTCATTAACTGCTCCCATTTAGCTCGCTGGTGGGTTCGCTGATGCGGGGCAGCACCTTGGCTGGGCACTAGCTGAATAAAACCCTGCGCATTTGGATGGACAAGAAAATAGGAAATCACAGAAATGTTGGAGTCTTCTTAACCTAAAAGGGTTTGGGGCATCTTCTAAGGCTAAATATTTCAAAGCAGGGAAGGCAGTCAGATCCTCTAGTGACAGAACTTAACAGAAGGGTTCCTGCCACAAGATTTCTATCAGCATACCAGTAGGGTAGACTGCCTCTTTGCCAGGATGACCATCTCACGGTGTTTCTCTCTTTTCAGGCACTGCATCTGTGGCAGTAGCTGGAATCTTTGCAGCCTTAAGGATCACAAAGAACAAGCTCTCTGACCATAAGTTTGTTTTCCAAGGGGCTGGAGAGGTAGGAGTGTTCTTGAGTGGGTTCCTAAGTATTACCTAAATTCAAATTTAGAGAAAAAACATCCATGAAACTTTTTGTAAGGCTTAGCATCATGAAGACAAACTACAGAACTGTAGTTTGGCTACACTTGTCATTGGGCTGGAGTGGGTCCTAGTGGGGCTTTAATGCGACTTGGAGAGAGTGTCTTATGAGGCAGGGTACTGCATTAGCTGTACCTATCAGGAGACTGATTTGGGCCCTCAGAGTTGATATTTAAGGGAAAATGGATTCTCTTTAACAGTAAATTCAAAATTATTTGGACTCAAAGGACAGTAAGCCTAGTCTACAGGACTCCCACTTCTGCAGGTTTTCTCCAAAAGACATTGCTACGCCAGGGAGGTGCTGATTTACTGCTTCTCTGTTACAGGCTGCGATGGGCATAGCTCATCTCATCATCATGGCCATGGAAAAGGAAGGAATTTCACGACAAGATGCCATCAGAAAAATCTGGATGGTGGACTCCAAGGGTCTGATTGTCAAGGTAAATCTGTCTCTAATGCTTAGCTACACTTTCCCAGCACCTCCCACAGGCTTTAGTGAAGCCAGGGCAGGCAGATGCCTCAGACACTGCTCAGCCCTGCAGTAAGGGCTGAAGTTCCACCAAGGTCAACAGGTCTATCCTCGGCCCTGTCTTCAGCAGGACTGGGTCTCAGAGGTACAACAATGTACCGCTGACTATCCTAGAGGCAACAGTTGGGCTAGCAGTTTTGTGATGCTAGATAGCCCTGGTTATCAAGCAGTGACAGAAGTATTAGGTGCCATACAGGGTTTTTACAATATCAGTGCTGTAAGGTTGTATCCTACATTATCTTCCAGTATGCTGAGCTCTACCTTCCTACCCTCCCTGGATCCTCAGGACCTCTGTCCTTGAGGTCCCCAGACTCAAGGAGACTGTGTTACTCACACACTTTCTCCGTCTTGCCAGACAAATCCTTCCTCTACACACACAAGTGTTGTATCATCTCGATGGGGGCCATGGAAGCAGAGGCACGACCCACATGTTGTTTTATCTGCTTCTCARTGCCACGCTGGCTGCTTGGAGGAGCCTAGTTAAAGAACAGAGCTGGGAAGAGGAACTAACTGACAAGTTACTAGTTAAGTGTCCAACTTTTGCCAGCGGCCCTAAATTTGATTCCTTCTTTTCCCTCACAGGGGAGGAGCCACCTGAACCATGAGAAAGAGATGTTTGCCCAGGACCACCCCAGTGTGAACACGCTGGAGGAGGTTGTGCAAAAAGTGAAGCCCACAGCCATTATAGGTGGAGTTCCCTTGATGTGACCTTTTTTTGACTGTTCAGATCAATGGAGAATCTCTTGCTTGCTTACAGGGCCTCCCAATCAACACACATTGAGGGTATTTTTTTCCTCCCATTTTGTCAGCTGAATTCTCCACATCATTTTCCCTTAGGCTATGCCTTAGGCACAGGCTTCTTCTCTGTTGGACCTTTAGAAACGCTCACAGCCAGGTCTGCAGAGGGACTTGTCAAGGCAAGGCTGGGGCTGGGGCTCTCAGCACCAAGCACAGTGCAGACAGCACAGAAAGGACAAAGGTGATGGCAAGTACCCCAGGCAGGTCTTTGGGAGGACAAGTGCTAAGCAYTGCAGCAAGGCCATCCCAAACGTTGATCTCCATCCTGCCTGGCAGARAAAGAAATTTTAATCTCACCATATCATGACAATGAAAAGTTCCTACTTGCATCTTCAGAGAAGAAGCCTTTATCTTCCCGCAGTCCTGTTAGCATTCAAGGGAGATAAGTCCAATACTAAAGCCAGAGAGTCAAAAAGCAGCTTCTCACTTTGCTGTTATCATTTTAGGTGTCGCAGCCATTGCAGGAGCTTTCACCGAGAAGATTTTAAAGGACATGGCAGCGTTCAATGAGCGGCCCATCATTTTTGCCCTGAGCAACCCCACAAGTAAAGCGGAGTGCACAGCAGAGCAGTGCTATCGCCTCACCCAGGTACTTGGCCCCAGCAGAGCAAAGCTGGGGGCTCGCAGCCCACCATGCTCCTGGACATACAAACAACAGCAAGTCRGTGCATGGGGACAGGGCAGGAGACAAGGCGAGTAATTTGAAATGAGGGATTCACRATGGTTAGAAAGAAAAGTGCTTATACTCTGAGGATAGTCTGGTAGTGGAACAGGGCCAAGAGAGGTTATGAATTCACTGTGCTGAGAGTCTTTAAATACCCACTGAACAAAGCCCTGAGCAACCTGGTCTGACCGCTGAGCAGACCTGGATTTTTGCAAGAGTTTGCACTAGAGACCTCCTGGGGGTCCCTTGCAACCTGAATTATCTAGTGATCCTATAAAGAAAGGAGTTCCTTGCTTTCCTGCTGCTGTCTGCTTGGAATAGTGCACCCTCCCAAGTTACTCTCCCTTGTGTTTTGCCACCTCGGTTGTTTGTGTAGCACTTTTGTCACCCAACTCAAACCCAGTGTCAGTCAAGAATTGTTGTCGTATGTATTGGCCTGGGGGAGTGAGGAGGCCTTGGTTCACTTTCCATTTTGCCCCCACCTCCTGCTCCCCTGTCATAGTGCTGCTGGTCAGGACAGTGACACAGCCCCCAGGCCTCTAACCCATACTTTAGGAGCACCCCAAAGACAGTGAATACAAAGACAGATGACTTCTCAGCAGGGTCAGAGCACCTGCAGTTGGGCAGTGCAAACACTTGCTCAGCGCTTGGCGGCTCCATTCTGCACAGCTCAGGTGACCAGGCCCTCGAGGAATATCACTCAGAGCTGTCTCTGTTGGAGACACTTCTTGTTGATTGCCTGGAGAACTGGCACTTGGTCCTCTATGAGCAGGTTGTGAGGAACAAATGTAAAACATCTCTTCCACATTTGGACACCTCTTTCTTTCTCTTTGATCAGGGCCGGGGAATATTTGCAAGTGGGAGTCCATTCTCAAAGGTTACCCTTTCCAACGGTCAGACCTTCTTCCCTGGCCAGGGAAACAACGCCTATGTCTTCCCAGGAGTGGCGCTGGGAGTCATCGCTTGCGGGGTCCGACACATCCCTGACGACATCTTCCTCACCACAGCAGAGGTTTCCAAGTGTCATTTAGCTACTCTTTCTAAAAAAACTAAAACTAAATAATATAAGGGGTATGTGCACCAACTTGAGACATTTTCTGGAGCCCAGTGAGTGGAAATTGCACAGTCTCAGCAAAAGGCAGTAGCTTTTTTCCATTCTCAGGGAAGGCTTATGTTTGTACTGGGGGTACAAAGGTGCTGGCAGGAGCTGTGACAGGGCTCCCTTTGTTCTATATGGCTGCCATCCTTCMTATCTGTGTTCAGGACCTGCCTAAGCAAAATGCTTCAATTGTCCTGGCTCGTTTTAAGTCTGGAATTAAATCCCTCACATATTGACTCTGTTCTTTGCATTTGTGTAACTGACATTCCAGTGTTTAATACTAGCAAATGTGGTGCCTGCTTAAAATCATCACTGTAACTACCTTCCTCCTCCTCTAGTCTATCGCAGCTGAAGTCACAGAGCAGAACCTTGCAGAAGGAAGATTATATCCCCCCCTGGATAGCATCAGAGAGGTGTCTTTCAAAATCGCTGTGAAAGTAAGAACTCATTTACTTCTGCTTTCTGTGGTAGAAAGGACAGRAATTGCCTACCTTGTTTTGTGATTTTTCTTTTATTTCTACTTATATCTGTAAGATATAAGTACTTATCTGTACTTCAGCAGTACAGACTAGGGGTTGACCTGCTGGAAAGCAGCTCCATGGAGAGGGACCTGGGAGGCCTGGTTGACACCAAGTTAACCAAGAGTGAGCAGTGTGCCCTCGTGGCCAAGGAGGCCAATGGGATCCTGGCCTTCATCGGGAGGATGTTGCCAGCAGGTCAAGGGAGGTGATCCTGCCCCTCTCCTCAGCTCTGGTGAGGCCGCACCTRGAGTATTGGGGCTGGTTTTGGGTTCCCTAGGACAAGAGGGATGTGGAGCTTCTAAAGAGGGCCCAGCAGAGAGGGACAAAGATGATGAAGGGACTGAAGCATCTCTTGTATGAGGAGAGACTGAGAGAGTTGGGCCTGTTTAGCCTACAGGAGATTGAGAGGGGATCTGATTAATATGTATAAATACCTGAGGAGAGAATGTAGGGATAAGGGGGCCAAACTCTTCTCAGCGGTGGCCTGTAATAAGACAAAGGGCAATGGATATAAGTTGAAAGACAGGAAGTTCCATCTCCATATGAGAAAGAACGTCTTTATTGTGACGGTGACAGAGCCCTGGAACAGGCTGCCCAGGGAGGTTGTGGAGTCTCCTTCTCTGGAGATCTTCCAAACCTGCCTGGATGTCACCCTGTGCCCAGTGCCCTGGGTGCTCCTGCTGGAGCAAGGCGGGGTTGGACTAGATGATCTCTAGAGGTCCCTTCCGACCTCAACCATTCTGTGATTCTGTGATTATACTGTAGCTTAAAGTAATGACTCTCAGGAACTCTTCTGTGTTCATGCCAGAATTACTGCTTCCTATCATTAATCATTTGAAACCTATCATTAATCCTTTGAAAATTGCCTTCTGGATCTGGATATCTCACAAAGCTCTGCTTTATCACTTGAAGCTGTGATTGCTCAGAACCAGAAATCAGATTTAAGGTTAACATCAGATACAGAGTAAGTTGCCAGAAAGTTTTAGGCTTCAAACTGCTGTTCTGAAACCTCTCCTCCTTTGAAATTGATAGGGACATAGGCACCTAAATATGATTTTGTATCTGGGCTTCTTTGTCTAATTTGGGGTTTTCTGTCCTCCATACACCTAATCTGTAATTCCTATTCAGGTCTCCAAAAAAGCAGCATGCTTCCCAAGGGACAGAGCACCCACTGAGATTCACACTGGCATGGTGGAAGTTGCTGAGATGCACAGAGTATGCAAGGAGCTAAGGCTGTGAGTGGTGGTGGTGAAAAGGCTCTTCAGCGCCTTTAATTGTACACTGCAACCATTTCACTAGGGCAGGGGAGTGCATTTCTATGCAGCTAATAACTATCTACAGGCAGTTTTTATGTGAAGTGCAGCTGATTCAGGGGATTGCACAAAGAGAAATGAGTAGAACAGGTCACAATTTTGAAGAAAAAAAGAAAAAGAAATTTATGTCTAGGACTGAGCTGCAGTTGCTTTCAGCTGGACTTAAGAATAAACGTTATTTCCTCACCTCTTTTTGCTTACTTTTTTGCAGGTTGTTGACTGGGCCTACAAACATGATCTGGCTTCTTGGTACCCTGAGCCAGCAGACAAAGAAGCCTTCGTGAGACAACACATTTACAGTCCTGATTACGATTCATTTGTTATTGATGATTATAGGTGGCCTGCCACCGCCATGCAAATGCAAGATGTCTAAGCTTTTTGTGAGAACTGTCTTGTTTCCATCAGTTCCATCAGTTCCCATCATGGCTGACATAAATGCACCTCCAGGGCTGCAGAATGATAAATGCAACTGAAGCCAATTTTTGTTTTGTAACTTTCTGATGTCTTTTATCTGTGGGAGCACATCAATAAGGAATAAAACAGAAAACAGAGCCAATGCTGGGCACTCCGTGCTCTAAGGAGAGGTGCTATAACTACAGCACTGTGGGTTTTGCCATTATATAAAGTGCTGTAGCCCCCATGAGCACTGTCATCGCCTCTGCAGTGTCCCTCCTTCCTTTGAAATCATAACCACTTAGGCTGTAGAATAGCAGATAGAGGGGGAAAAAGACAATCCTCACAAGTGGCAGGAGTCCTCCAAAGACAGGCACCTAGCTGAAAATTTTCATAGGGTTCATGGTTAGTAGGTCGGTCCAGATTTCTAGAAAATGCAACAATCAATAGCACTCTCATCCCCAGCCAGGAATGCTCCCATAAGCCAGGAGCAGCTGCCATCCTGAAGCCATTGGCACCTTACAGGGCATCCTCTCAAGAACCTGCCACACTGATAGTAGCCTCCCCACAGCTGTAGTTACTGCTGGGTTCTCTCTCCCCTCACACTTCCACAGATCCCCCAAAATCCTTCAGTAAGGAACATGAACAAGGCTGGAATTCAAACAGAAACTTCTTTTATGGAAAACCCTGGAGGCTGTGATGGTGATCTGTAATTGTAAGGCTTGTATTTGTTACTATCATGCTCCAACGGCAACTCCCAGATACACAAGGTTATTCCAACAGCCTTTCCATAGCTGTTACCAATACACCATGAATGTTCTCAGGGAATATCAGTAGGATTTCCACTTGTAAGGGTTTTTTTTGTGGATTCTTTTTTATTCCACTGGTCAGAAAAACACTTCTCAAATCAATGAGATTATTAAACAAAACTGAAAAGTTTATTCTGCTCTTTAAATGCATGTTTTAAATTGACAAGGCTTGGCTTACCCATGTATAGCATGCAAATTACTACAGTACTGAAAGGGAATGCAGAGGATGGTGTCTTGTGAAGTGTTATAAAATACTWTTTTACCAAAACAGCCCCAAACATGTGCAGCTGCAAAGAGACAGGACACAAGATACCCTGAACCATACAGGTGCTCAGAGGTTTGGTGGGGAGGGTGGAGCGCAGTGTGGCCTTAATTAGACTATGTTAGTACAGTATCCTCTCTTAAGGCCTTAACAGCCAACAGCTCACCTTATATCCCTGCTCTACTGACCTGGCCACTCACAAAAATGCATCGTTGCAAGAGCTTTGAATCACTCTTGCTCAAAGCCGTTTGCCACCCTTCACAGTCAGTATTAGGATCAAACCAACCTGTGACATTTCCACAGTTTGAATCCTAATGGAGGCAGGTCCCCAGCTCACTGAAGACCCCAGTCCTGTTGGAGCTGGCTTGGAAGCCTGGCGACCAGCCCAAGCTATATGTGGCTATACGTGAAGCATCTGTCTGGTCCATGGGAGACTCCAAAGGGCAGTTGAGCCCCACTTAAGAGGTGCCTGCTTACTCTCACATCCTCACTCTCAGCTCAGCTGTGCATCCGACAGTTCCCTGCACTCACTTGCCATTCTTCAACTGTGGACCTACAGACATTGTGAGAAGTGTCTCCAGAAAAGCTGGACATATTGGGARCCCTGTCCCTGGCCTGCTTGGTACATCCTTAAAGCTCAAGGAGTTACCAACCCAAGCAGCTTGACAGTGCTCAGAAGCTGCCTCCTGAGCTCCGCTACTGAAGGCAGCCAGGGGAGAAGACAACTCTTCCTGATGACCCACACAGACCTTCCRGACCTCTGCAGGCCTCACCCACCCTCCCTTCCCTCTCCACAGGTGCTACAGGGACCAGCTCAGCTCCAAAGTGGTGGCTCTTCCCTGCGCAGGCCCACAGCTCCCACCTCGCATGCGCCACCTGCACCAGGGCCACCTCTGTGCTTAGGAAGCTTCATGCAGCTTCTGACCTGGCTGAAAGGCTTCAGCATTTCGGCGCCCAGCACTCACAGAAGGCAGTAGAAGGGCTGCCTGCTGGCACCAGCTCCGTCTTCATACCCCAGCTATGGCCTTATGTAGGGTACGTTTCAGCTATAGAAGCCAATAAAGCTCTGTTTTAACGTTCATCTCCAGCTTTTTCTTCCAGTGTGCCCCCCCCAAAAAAAAAAAAGGAAAAATTGCTGCATTATTTGTCCTAGGTAATGGGATTTCCCCCATGTGGCCTCTCGATTTGTGGTAGCTGGAGCCACAGTGCCAGTATCCCCTGTCAAGGGGCACAGGGGTGGGTTGGCAACGACAACAGCCACCACACTAGGCCCTAGGAACCCGCCTACAGACCACAGGCAAAAATACAGCTCAGTGAGGAAAGTACCTGAGCAAAATGCACCACAGAAGCAACAGGGGTCAAGCAGGGAGTCAGGTATATGGCTTTTACCCAAAATTGAAAATGAACCCATAAAACTGCCTTTCTCCCCATGGGGACGAGAATTTTCYAGCTGCTCTGTTGACCAAACAGTTTCTAGAGGACAATGGAGCGGCAGTGGGCAGAGCCCACAAGCAAAAGCCTAGGACACTCCAGTGTCCCTGGTGGATGCTCCATGCATGCTCCATGCCATTGTTATGTGCTCGGATGGGCACTGCCAAGGAAGTGCTGCACCTGCTCTGACCAAAGACCCACTCTGAGGGTCTCAGATAACTCTGAGGAACTGCCTCCTCAATGCTGTCACAGTGACATTATGATGCTCCTGGCCATAACTGTGAAATAAGAGAGGGGAATCCTAACTAAGATTCCCCTATAAGGGGAGTGCACTAAACTAGATCTCAAAGGCTAACACCTTGTAAGGCCCAATCAGTTACACCAGCTRGTGACAACAGCCTTTATTCAGCATCTTTAAGTGGGTTTTAGCACTAGGAAACACATCTCATCCCCTTGCTGAAAGTTCAGCTGCTGCAAGGGGCAACACTGACCCCAACTCCAGCAGTGYCTCCACACACAGCCCTCCATGGGGGCATGGTGGTAGTGTGCTCTGGGCCAGGACAGCGCTGCAGGGAGCTGCCCACCACAGTCTGCCTGCAGGAGAGCCAGCCAGTCCCATCACAGACACTGGGGCCCAGAGCAACACACTGGGACGATGAGGTGGGGTCTCTTTCTGTAGCTCATAGGCTGAGTGTCAAAGGCAATGTACTGTGTGTTCAATTCTGGGCTCCCTCGTACGAGAGGGATGTGGAGCTACTGGAGAGAGCCCAGCATACGGCTGTGAAGAGGATTAGGGGACTGGGGCATCTCTCCTAAGAGGAGAAGCTGAGAGAGTTGGGCCTGTTTAGCCTAGAGAAGAGAAAATTGAGAGGAGGTCTTATTAATCTCTACAAATATCTTARGGGAAGGTGCCAAGAGGATGGGGCCAGACTTTTCAGTGGTGGCCAGCAATAGGACAAGAGGCAGTGGCCACATACTRAAGCACAAGAAGTTCTGCCTGAATTTGAGGAAAGTTGGACTGTGAGGGTGACAGAGCACTGGAACAGGCTGACTAGAGAGGTTATGAAGTCTCCTGCTCTGGACACAATCCTGCAACATGCTCTATGCGACCCTATTTGTGCAGGTGGATTGGACTAGATGATCTCCAAAGGTCCTTCCCAACCTCAGTCATTCTTTGAGTCTATGAACTTGCCTCACTGATGTGCCACTGCCTTGCATCGTCTCACCCGCATGGCTTTTAATGCTGGGCCCTTTCACATGGGTCCTGTAGGTAGGTCTACACGCCAGGGCTAAGGAGTCAAAAAAGAAAAGTTAAGGTTTAAGGCTGGAGAGAGAGGCCAAGAGGCCCTCATTTCTGAGGTTTTGTGGCCTTTTACATGTCTCAAAGCCAGGGAAAGTACCAGGGTAGGAATGACTCTGTCTTGTCAAAATGGTTCTTACACCGTTTCCTCTTGTCTATTCAGTCTTCTCCTTTCACTTCATCTCTGTTACAGTCTGGATGAACACTTGAACTTTCTGTGCACTCAAGTTCTGTGCCCGACTTCTCAGCTATTAGGCAAGGATACAAGAGAATGCCTTTTAGGTGGATGGATGAGCAGAGGATCTTCCCTTGACAGTCTGAAAGCGTCTATAACTGCACAGCCCTTTTCAGTCAGTCACCCCAAGAGTTTTCTTTTTCAAGCACAGCAATCATGAGATGCTTCACCCCTTGTCTGAGGAAGACCAAGAAAAGACTGAAAGTTTTGCTTATGATCTCCAAAGGCCTAATTCTTTCTTTACAAAAATCAGAAAGTTGAAGAAACAATTCCTCAAAGCATAGGCAAGCTCATCTTGGCCTAGCAAGCAGTGAGCCCACATAAAGCTTGGCACCTTAGTGAATCTGGTCCAAACTTTTCCCTCCCCTGGCATCTACCCCCAGGGCATGCCTTGAATGCTGAGGCTGCACAAATCAAAGGAAGGGAAGGTCACCCTGCCCACAGTACCAGGCTCATTTTGTCCTCCAAGTGTGTCTGAGAGCTTCTCCCTCCCCACAGGGACAAGGCAGGCCAGAGAGACAACAGTCCCTCTTGGCTCTTCAGAGGGAAGGACAGCCGTGGGACTTGGATGCCTTTGACACTCCACTCCCCTGGAAGAGAGAACAGCTCTTTGGGAGGATTTCTTCAAGTACATACCTGAGCCCTCTCTCTGTCAGATTTTGCCCTCTGAGCCTGATAAGCAGTCCAGAGGCGCTCCTCCTCCTCCTCTCTCTGTCGTGCCTCTTCCGTCAAGAGACCCTGGAGCTTTCTTTGCTCCTGCTGCATGCAGAGATAGCATATTTCCTGCAAGGCCACAGAAAAGCAACAGCAGCAGCATGAGGCTCAGCTCCTTTCGATATTGCCCTCCAGCACACCACCGTCACCATCTTGACCTAACTTGAGAAACTGGATGTGAAGAAGATAGGAGAGAAGAAATAAGGTACCTGAAATTTTCAAGTAAGGTCTGAATGAGACAACACAACGGTGAAAGGTCACAGGACCTTTTAAGGGTCAGTAGCCTTATACCTGTGGTTTTTAGCAGTAGCACAGTAATACAGCAGAGTAATGGCACAGATGCATACAGAGTACCTGTCCTACTCTCTTGTGACCATCACAGACAGGGACATCTGGCTGGGTCCTGGTTTTAGAAAGCTTGCTTTCCTCCCCCTTCTTGCAGGAGCTCCCCTCCCACAGCAGCGGCAGTCTGCAAACACACAACAGGAGGAGTTTTGTCCTCAGCTTCAGCGCATGCCTGGGTGCCCACYTCTGCCCTCAAAGAGAAGGCTGCAGAAGAAGAGCAGGAAAGCGGTAGCCTCAGCTGCGGCCTCACATCCAGGGTACTCAGACAGAGACTTTCCCCTAATGAAGCAGAGAGAACATTATTGACATTTCACATGACAGTCYCCCCAGCATTGCAAGTTACACAGGAGACTGTTGGAAGGTGCAAAATACTGCAGTAGGTTCATAAAGGAGACTCATGTTGGAGAACAAAGGAAAAGAAGCAGAAAGCAATCTTGTGTTGAAAGCAGTTCTGCCATGAGTGCGTCTGATGCTTCTCTGGAGACAGCTTTTTCCCAGAAAAGCAATGGCCTCACTGAAGGCAGCCAAAACAAGCAGTCTCTCACAAGAACGTGTGGAAAAAAAACCCTCTACTTCTGGAATAATCCTTTCCTCAGAGTTGCCGGAGGATGTACAGCTTGGAAGTCAGGAGAAAATGAAGCCAACACAAGAGTCCACAAACACCTACTATGCCCTTGCTCTCCAGACCCAGATATACTTCCCTGAGACAAGTGCCAATGGCCTTTTAGTCAGCCGTAGGACACTACTCACCACACAAGAACAAAAGCACAGTTTTTTCCTCTTCTATTTCTCCAAGAGTCTCACCTGACAGAAGGCTCTAATTCTTTGCCCATMTTTGCCTTGTCCCCCTCTGCCTTCTCATTGGTTATCGCGGTCGGAGACAGAGCATCTTGAGAGAGGAGGTTGCACTTGACAGGAGTAGTCCCTGTAAGGAGGCAACAAGAAAGCTCTCAAGAACAGCCCTTGGTAGCAAGTTGACCAAAGAACAACTGAGTCTCCCTGTCTGACAGCTAACAAAGGACTAAAAAGTGGCTATGRAAATGACTTGCTCCCCAGGAAGTGTTACATCCTTTCTGACACTGGCTCTTCTGCCTGTCATGGTTTCTGTCGCACAAATTACTCCCTGGGAGCATTCCCCTCACTCTGACTTATTTAGTGGCCATTTATTGGGAAGTGGGGCCAGGTAGGAGATGTTGGTGACCTAACTAGTCCACTTCAGAGGAGGGGAAGAGGAGCTCTATACTTGTCTCCTAGACACAGATGTGCTGCCCAGGCAACTCCAAGTCAAAGACAATAGTATTAGGAAGATCACAATTGATTACCAGTGAATCCAGCTGCACAAAAATGCAGTTGCATTTGACCCTATTTAGTAGTCTTTTCATGGTCATCACCAGATGTTGTTACCACAGGAAAAGAAACAGGTTCTCCAATTCCTCCCCAGTCCTTTACACTTGAAGACAGACTTTGATATGCAGACTGTGTGATGATCTTTACCTCTTGCTGTTCCAGCTGACTCATGAAAGGAAAGAACAAATTTCAAGGGACCCTTGAGAACTGCTAGAAGAGTTTTTGAGCCTAAGGAGATTTACCATGCTGGTAAAAATCAGCACAGCAAGGGCCGTATTGAGAACCAGATGTGGCATTTCAACCTGTTCTCCCATCTGCTTGCAGTAAGGACAGAAGTGAAGCAAGGAAGCCTCTGTATGGAGCTGGCACTTCCATTACCTTTGCTGCTAGA